AGCCCACAAACTTTATCCTTTATCAATTTTTTTTCATTAAGGCTCCACAGACCCTTTGTTCTTTATCAAAAATTTCCCCCAGATTTTATTTTTCTCTTCTCTCCATTTAACGTCTCGACCAACTGAGACATATGGCTTCTTCAGATTCAATTGTTCTTCACAAAACTATTTCTCCCTATGATATTACTTCTTCTGATAATCTTGGTCTTCAGATCACCCATATCAAATTGAAGGGTGACACAAACTATGATGAATGGTCTCGTAGTCTGCGCACTGCGTTACGGGCTCGCAAGAAGTTCGGGTTTCTCGACGGCTCTCTTCCTCGACCGGCCGACAATGATGACCTTTTCGATGATTGGATCACCAATAATTCTCTTTTGGTTTCTTGGATCATGAATAGCATCGAACCCCAGGTACGGTCTACAATCACCGAACCAGATTATGCTCGCGATTTATGGTTGTCTCTGGCTGAGCGATTTACAACTGCTAATGGCCCTCGTATTCAACAATTAAAGTCTGATCTTTCCAATTGCAAACAAAAAGGCGGTTCAATCGAACAATATTATGGACGATTGACGAAACTGTGGGATGATTTGTCGGAATATGATAAGGCCCCCGTGTGTAGCTGCGGCAAATGCGAGTGTGATCTCAAATCAAAGTGGGACAGTCGGCGTGAAGCTGAGAAAGTGCATCAATTCCTGATGGGCTTGGACGGCAACTTGTATAGCGCCCCACGTTCTCATATATTAGCTCTTGACCCGCTACCCACTCTCAATCGGGCATATGCAACTATGGTGCGCGAAGAGAGGATGCGGACAGCTCTACAGGACTCAAACACTATGGATATTTCTGGCTTTGTGGTCCGTACAACACAAACGGGCCTACTGGGCACTGCACCTGCTTCTTCTCATGGCACCCGATCTACCGCCAACACACAAGCAGGTGGTAGCGTGGTTTTTGGTGGCCATCAAATTGCGGCCAGTGGTAAAAAGTCCGCTCGTCAGTGCCTTCATTGTGGAAAGACGGGCCATCTTGCGGCCTCTTGCTTTGAAGTCATTGGCTATCCCGACTGGTGGGGAACAGGCACAGGTCGCGGAGGGGGCTCCGGTGCTCACGTCGGGGGCCGACATGGTCGTGGACGCGGTGATGGACCAACTGCAATCAGTCGTGGTGGACCTGCTCATGTCAACGCCGCCTTCGGAAATACGGGTGCACTTAGTTCCTCTAGTTCCGCACATGGTGGGACATCGTCCTCATTGACCGACTCTGATCGGGCTGCCATTTCCGGCTTAACTGACTCCCAGTGGGAGTCCATTGTTCATCTTGTCACTTCCGCCCGGACCACTGCTCCTTTATCTGGTAAGCGTAGTCCTTTTGAGTGGATGTACGATAGCGGTGCTTCACATCATATGACGGGTTTCTTGGAATTTTTTGCTGATATTCGTGACATTACGCCCCGATCGGTGCAGTTACCTAATGGCACGCTCACTACTGCGTGCAAAGCTGGAACTGTCCATCTCGGTTCTCGTATTATTTTATATGATGTCTTGTTCGTTGACAGTTTTCAGTGCAGCCTCATATCTTTATCTCGGTTATTGGAACAATCTGGTTGTGTTGCTACCTTTACTGACAAATATTGTGTTATTCAGGACCTCACTTCGAGGACGGTGATTGGAGCGGGTGAGCAGTTGGGGGGACTCTATTTTTTCCGAGGGACAATAGCTGCCAACGCCTCTCGAGTGTCTTCTCCTTTGCAACACTTGTGGCATCAGCGGATGGGGCATCCGTCTTCTACTGTTCTTGGACAATTGTCTTTTGTCGATCCTCGCTCCTTGATCTCGAATAAAACATGTGATGTTTGTTCTCGGGCAAAACAATCTCGGGCTAGTTTTCCTTTTAGTCGTAGTGTTAGCAGTTCCCTTTTCAGTCTTATTCATTGTGATGTGTGGGGGCCTTATAGAGTTCCTGCATTTAGTGGTGCTCGATACTTCCTAACTATTGTTGATGACTATTCTCGTGGTACTTGGATTTTCTTATTGGATGAAAAATCTTCGGTGTCCTCTACTTTGCTGAATTTTTTTGCCTTTGTTAAGCGACAATTCGGTGTGTTGGTTAAAACTATTCGCAGTGATAATGGGACTGAATTTACTTGTATGCGTGACTATTTCCGTCAACAGGGCATTGTTCATGAAACTTCTTGTGTCGGAACCCCTCAACAGAATGGGCGTGCTGAGCGCAAACATCGCCACATTCTTAATATTGCCCGGGCATTGCGCTTCCAGGCTCATTTGCCGATTGAGTTTTGGGGACATTGTGTACTTGCTGCTGGGTATTTGATTAATCGAACGCCTACTTCTCTTTTATCCGGCAAGACTCCCTACGAAGTTTTGTATGGAGAACCCCCTAACTATGCACATTTACGGGTCTTTGGATGTCTGTGTTACGTGCACAATCAGAATAGAAATGGTGACAAATTTGCAAGCCGGAGTCGACGATGTGTTTTTGTTGGCTATCCATCTGGCCAAAAAGGGTGGTGTGTTTATGATTTGGATAGTCACACTTTTCTGGTGTCCCGTGATGTAAAATTCTGTGAATCCGAGTTCCCCTATTTGACGTCTCCTATTTCTGATGCTGCTTCTATACCTGTGGCTCCATGGCCTATTGTCTTTGACGATGACACTGATGTCGTGGTTGCTATTCCGTCACCTCCCGCTGATACTGGCGGTTCTGATGCCATTACTGATATGGGGGATACTTCTACTCAAGAAGAGGTGCTCGGTCGTGGTCATCGTATCAAGAGACCTTCTTCCCGTCTTGCTGACTTTGTCTCCCACACTATTTGTTCCTCGTCCTCCCACTCTGCCTCCTCCGAGTCACCGTCACTCTCTGGTACTCCTTATCCTCTCACCCGTTATGTTTCTTGTGATTCTTTTTCACCTGCACATCAGTCATTTCTGGCAGCCGTCTCTTCCGCTGTTGAACCACAGACCTTTTCCGAGGCCGTTAGAGATAGTCATTGGCGTTCGGCTATGCAACTGGAGATTCGGGCATTAGAAACGAACCACACGTGGGATATTGTATCTCTTCCTACCGGGAAACACGCGATTGGTTGCAAGTGGATTTATAAGGTTAAATATAATTCAGATGGTTCTGTTGAGTGCTATAAGGCGCGCTTGGTTGTCTTAGGTAACCGGCAGGTGGAAGGGATTGACTATCAAGAGACATTTGCACCGGTCGCCAAGATGGTTACTGTCAGGACGTTTCTCGCTGTCGCAACTGCACGTCATTGGGAGGTTCATCAGATGGACGTGCACAATGCGTTCTTACATGGTGATCTGACCGAGGAAGTCTACATGAAGCTTCCTCCCAGTTTTCATTCTCCTGATCCTGGTAAGGTGTGTCGCCTACGTCGGTCTCTTTATGGTTTGAAGCAAGCCCCTCGGTGTTGGTTTGCGAAGCTTGCTTCTGCTTTACGACAGTATGGTTTTCAGCAGTCTTACTCGGATTACTCCTTGTTTGTTCTTCATCGGGACACATTGAGTTTACATGTTCTGGTTTACGTTGATGACCTGATTATTTCTGGGAGTGATCCTGTCGCTATCGCTGCCTTTAAAGATTATTTGGGTCGATGTT